TGAGAATCTTCAGGGTTTGGCTCAGAGGGTCGGCCCGGCAGGTTAGCTCTTCCAGAGCTTTCACAGAGGAGACACGGGTTTCCTGGAAACACAGAGACAGTGGTTAGAATCCAACCTGGATTCGAAGTCATGGAGATTCAACAAAGATCTAGGCTTTAGCGCTGACCAACTGGAACAAACACTGCGGCGTTGAGGCAAGGTCTGAAGACAGCTTATATAGTGGATCCTCTGATGATCTAGATGAGCTGCAGCTGTGCAGGAGGCTCCCTCAGAGGATCCACGGCGGACTTTGCTGGAGAAAGATGGGATTTTCTCCAGCTCCCAACATTGTCTTCTTCCAGACTTTTTTCTGCCCCATTTAATTTCCTTAAGCAATAAAAGATTAAATATTGTAACATATAAAACTTTCCTCCACTGGATTTATGGTTTAAGTAAATATTAACAAAGGCTGTGTCCAAATGTCTGCCCTTTCCCCTCCATCACCATATAGAGCAGGGACTATATGGACATATTTTCACTAGTTTTCACTCCCAGTTGGTTAAATGACTCGGGCTCCTCGCTCTGTTCCTGCACCAATCCTTATTCCCTCTGGCTCCAAAAAAAAAAATCCCATGATAGTTTGCAAGCAGAGCTCTTGTAAAGCATTACTTTTTCATTCACTAGACACTCACACACCCCTATGAAATGCATAACCCCCATATAGGGCACTATATAGGGCAAAAATTCAGACACAGCCATAGTCTACTTTAAGAAATAACAGAATTTTAAGGCTGTTTCACATCCTCCATATTTGGTATACTTAAGATAGACCAGAGTTAGTTTCTCCCCTTCATCCTGACAATCTGTGCAGGTGTGAATATACACAAGCGAAACCTTTTCTAGATCAAACATAAGACTTAGATTTTTCAGGTAGTCTTGATCTGCTTCTAATCAGACTCTACTCTGGTTTGCCTCTAGAATGAATACAAATGACTCAACTAAAGGAAAAATCAGCTTTTTTGGATTTGATGAGCAAATGCAACAGCTCCTGTAATAATTGTACATTTTACTAGTCATTGCACACCTGATCCTCAACTTTTTCTTAACAAAAAACTGCCAGCTTCTTAAAAGTTTGCTCCAAAGCCATTACAAAATTAGAAATAGAAGGTTGTGAAACCTGCATCGCATAAGCTGACAGACTGAGTTGTTGCTGGAGTATCAGCAGAAATATAGTGAACAGAGTTTCAGCAAACAGGACTTCTATGTGGGTTTTCTCCATTATTGGCTCAGTGCCACTACACTCATTTCTATCCAATGGATGCAATGAACATAACACAGTGGCTTTGCTTAGAAGTTATAGTTTACCTGGAAAAAGTACAATTTTAAAGAGAACAGCATCAAAAGTAAAAAAAAAAAAAAAGTCCACTTTTGGTCCAGAGTAGTCAAGTACAGCAGCTTTTCTGTTGTGACTACACAAGGTGCAAAGACATAACAACCAATTAATTAAATAATCAATTAAGAATAGGGATTACATTAAACCTGGCTTTAGAATTGTATATAAATAAAAAATATACTTACAAAGGGATCAAGGATAACTGTAAAAGCCTATTCCCTGATTTCCTGTGGATAATTGTGAGTTATACTTGATCAATCTCATTAATTTGAGCCAGCAGCATTTCCTTTAGTGGAAACCGTTGTTTGAATATCTGAGGTGTAATTAACAGATTAGAAAAGTCACAACAACAAAGACCATCTGCCTCCTTATGCCCCAAGCTCACTTGCCTTTACATAACACTGAAAGGAGGTGGGAACAGCCCCCACTTTGATTTTTTTTTTGTCTCCCTCTTATCTTCTCCAATCAAAATGTTTCAAGTGGACAGGCAGCTGTCATCATAACACCTTCCTGGGTATCTGTTGTTGAGACAGTTCATTATCTATGGCAGAGTGGACACACCTGCCTGACAGAAACGTCTTTGAAGCCGTGCTCCTAAAGGCAACAGTCAAAACCCACAGGTTCAGAGTTGTGTCGGCCCCTCTTAAGTCATTGTTAACTTTTCCTTTCATGTTCTGGACAGCATATGATGTAAGGCTGTTTTAATGTTGGAGCTTTTAGAGTTGTCTGTGTGAAACACCTCATGTGGACACAGTTGTTTACTTTTGGGAACTCGCTAAATCTCATCCCATTTCAATCTGAGGAGACAGAAAAACTGCAACTAGATATGTTTTTTTCAATTCAATTTATTTATACAAGTAACAGAGACAGATTGTTCTACCTAAGGAAAACCAGCTGATTGCATGAAATCATTTACTCTCTGCAATCTCTGACACCGAGCATGTATGTAGCGACAGTGGAGAGGCAAACTCCCTCTTAACAGGAATTCCAAAAAGGTTAAAAACAATCCACTGGACTTTGTTTTCATAATTTAAAGAAGTTTCACTTCCAATCCAGAAAGCTTTTTAAATTCAAAATTTCAGAATTAGCGTTGAGTTCCAAGCTTTATAGAGTAGCCAAAACAAAGCCTTTTTTGGCTTTGAAAACATGCAAACCAGAAGAAAAGGTCCCCCCTTAGGGATGGGGAGACGATAAAGTCTTTTGGTAGCCTGCAACACTTGATACTTTTAACAGGAAGAAACCTGGCGTGCAGACAGAGAAGCTCTGCAGGAGCCAAATGAAGGAGATCTTGTCAGGTTTATCTTGATTGGTTTTGGAGAAGACGCCCCCAAGTTGAATGGGTGACATCGCAGGTGGTTCAAGTGAAGCTGATAAGAATCTTTCAGATGGAATTTTCACTTAAGCTTTATTTGTATTTAGAACCTAAAATTGTCTTATAATGTGTCACAAAATTTGAACATCGAGGTCAACATCTTTCCATCCAAAGCCTTTCTCATATTACCTTTAAATTTTCTTATAGTTATAATTGAGTCTAGGGGAAAGTGTTGTACATAACGTAAAACCTAACCCTTTTTAGTTTGGTTTATTCCATCTTGTATTTGTTTAAATTATGACATTTTCAGTTAAGAGAAGTGTTTGGGAAATATTTCAATCTGCAACCTATTGATTCCATGCATCTATGATTGACCTCTTAAAGAAACCTGTTAAACCTGCATTTAGTTTGATTACTAGCTGCATCTCTTAAGCCTGTCTTGGCCTTTGTAATACGTGTGAAGCCATGATGCACTGATCACATTTGCCCTATTTACACTAACGCTCTGAAACCAATCTGTGCCAAATTCAGACCGAGGTTGGATCAGTTAACTGTGCCGAGCTAGGTTCTTACGACCATTTACACATCAGGCTAATACAGTTCCTCGCCTCCTATCGGCGGTCCACAATACTAATGCTCTCAAGGCGGGAATTACGCAAACATGTCAATGAGAGCCTCGGTCTCGGCACCATCCCAGGTCGCACCATGCTCTTTTTATGCTATTTATTGTTAATAGGCTGAGAAGAAGTTAATGTTGTGAACAGGAGAAGAGATCTGTGAATTGTAAAGCCAGATATGCCGGAAAACCCATGAAATGAGTCTGACTGTAAATGGGACATGGTCTGCACATGTGCTCTTTGTTATCAGAGAACCGAGCCACAACTGAACCGTGCCGAGCCCTACAGTTGAACTAGTACTAGATTTAGCGTGGTTTGGTTGTGTCTGGCACGGTCCAGTTCAGTCACATTCCATTTACACTCAACAGTTATCTCGGTTACCATGCTCGGACTGTTCTCAGCACAGTTTCAAAAGGGTAGCGTAAATGCTGCTATTAACTTGATCTCTTAATCTGGAGTTTCTGAATTCACCCTTTGTGAACTTTGTCTCTGGTGTGTACACCGTTGCTGGTCGGTTTTTGAACCCTTTTCTCCTCTGATTAAATCAGAATAGCTTGCGTGTGTCGTGGGAAAAAAGTATTCAACTGTTCATCCTAGTTAAATAAACGGAGATCGATGGATTTCACTTAGTCGGCACATTTATTCATATCTTTGCAAAGAGAGAACAGTTCATCATACAGCCGTTATGGCACAGCATTCTGCCCTGTTCTGCATGAGCAGTGTTCGTTCCCCCTTACATACAACAATGGAAAAGTAGTCAGAGTCAAAACAAATTACAGAAACTTTTATTAAACAGTAACATGTTATGAATGAACCTTGAGAAATAATCTGATTTGTTATGGGAAGAAGCTCTGTCTGGTCTACAAACACCATCCTGCAGAGCATTGTGTGGCCTTGAAAGTGAAACAGACTGAGTGAAAACTTTTATAGTGAGTAAATAGGATAAATTAATATATAATAAAAGAGAAATCTAAATTTTCCAACAACACGTGACTAGTCTTAACCTTGGACTTTGGGTCACTCAAGGAAAGATTAATAGAAGCTCTGACCTGTGGTTTTCTCTTCTCCTTTCAGTTTTCTTAGCCTAGTTAATACTCTTTCAGGCAAAAAGTAAACAATTCATTGTTGGATTGTGTCTGTTTATTATTTCTGCACTATGTATACTTTTACATATTTACTTAAATATGAACCTCTTTTTAACATTTGAGAAATTTATCAAACATGTACATTTTACCTACTAACTTTAAAGGAGAAAGGCACTAAAATGTGGACTATTTATAATTATTTGAGTTCATGATAAGACTGTCAACCTAATCTAACATTTAACTCATCACATTATTTAGTCCTTACAGACATGATAGCAACTGAATAGCAGCCATTTACTGACACAACACAGTGCAATAATTTCTCTCTATCTATCAAAACATAAGAGCCTTAAGCTCTATGTCTGTCATGGGTACATTTTAGACATTGCATCAGAGCGCAGAGCAGATGATTTCTCTGTATCTCCCCTAATGATGCTGTGGATCCAAGGCAAATATGAAGAAATCTTCATGTAGACACTGTAGTGGTACCGGTTGCAGGATTTGTCATAGGAAAGGATCCCTGCAGCGTATACATCCCCTGTTTGCACATCCCTGACTGCGAGGGCTCCTCCCGCATCCCCAAAACAAACATTTTCCCCATAGCCTGTGGGTCCAGTGCAGAACATATTGACATCCACCATGGGTGTGTGTGAAGTCTGTTCATATTCAGATTTACAGTCAGAGTGATTGGCCAGAGGAAGAGTGAGGTATTTGAGAGACGTTGATGGGGTGAGGTGGATCCCCCAGCCCCAGCCAGCGATTACCCCAGACCCACCCCTAATAGTGTCCAGGTCCTGGCCTCTCTCTGGGAGGGGGATTGGCGTGACCTTATCACTCATAATCACAGACTCTTTAAGTTTGATGAGAGCTAGGTCATTATCCCAGTCAGATTGGTTCTGGAAGCCAGGGTGAAGATAAACCTGCAGGAGGAGAATATAAATATCACCTTTTTAATCTCCCCTCTCATCCTTTACATAAGAAAATGTAATAAAAAGTCATTTTTTCAAAGCTATGAAATCTAACTGTGCTTTGTTACCCAAAGCAACGTCTCAATCTGAGTGTTTTTATAGGGTGAACGAGTTTCGTGCGTGTTAAAATGAGACTAATTTCCTCTTTCATAACAAACCTTGAATGCCTAAAGAAATTGAAGGGCGACATATTTCAGATGGCATTGGAAAAGATGAAATAACAGAGAAGGAAAGTGAAAAATGTTGCTCTTCCTTTCATAAATCACTGTCACCACTTCTAGATGTAATTTGTCTGGCAAACCCTGAAGCTAAAAATCAAGTCTTTTTATTCGTTCTAAAATGAAATGCTTCAAAAGACGGGAGGAATCTATTAAGGGCAAAAGCATTTACAAAAAAAGATTGACATGATGGTCAATGCATTTTTTTCTTGCCTGCAATCTATCAACAATCACTGTATTTAATACATGATTTATTTGTATTTAGCATTTTCGTAACCAAGATGCCCATTCCTTACCTTTTCTACAGCAGCTTCTGTGGAGGCATCAGCTTCTCTCCTCTGTGAGATTCCTATGTATACTTTTGGGATGGAAGGATCTTTCCCCTGAATATCCTGTCGACTCTTTCTAATGAAGAGGTTCCTTCCAGCTGTCAAAACCCACCGGTCAGATATTAGAGCTCCCCCTGCATACCCACCATCCAGGACACTGTCAGAGAGGTAGATCATGGCTTGCCAGGGGATGACAGGAGCCAAGGTTCCTCCAACCATTCGCTTCGAACGAGGGGACACTAAATGGAGCAGAAATATTACATGAAAATCAACTTTATTAATTTCATTTCATTTTGTTTTTCAATTGAAAATGCTGAGTAAAGGCTAATTATAAAGTAAAATATCACAGATCATGCTTTAGCACTCTGAGCCTTTAAAAGCAGCTAATGAAGCACAGGATCAGAAGCCAAAAGGCTCTTTGTTAAAAAAGTTGCAATGGATCCATAACCAGATGCATGAAATGGAAATCTGAAAAACAACAGTTAAGGTAAAAAGGCTAACTTAAGCCAAATGTACGAAATATAACATAGTTGTACAGACAAACAATACTGGTAAAATCTAATAAAAACTAACAAGAATGTGACACAGGAAACTTAATGAAAAAACATTTAACACTGCATATTGGCACATGCTACAAAGACATAAAATAACCAGGTTCACACACAGAATGATATAAACAATATGCAGAACATTCATTAAAAAAACACAGCAACTTTGCATGATTTTAATTGTGATTAAAATCCTCCAGAGTCTAGAACACTTTAAATTCAAAGTGATTCACATTGTTTGTTGAAACTTTGAGTATAAGCTCATATATCAGGGTTTTATTGAAAACTTCTATATAATCCTTCCTGATGCAATGCCTGTTCTATGATTAATCACATGGATCTCTTAATTAATTGTAAATTTAAAACCTTCAGATACAAAGCTTTGTAACGCTTAATTGTATTTTTTTTCTTACTACACAGAAATGAGGAAGCAAATGTGATCTCTATGCATTTGATCCTCTTCTCTTTTGTGACTAATCAAGTTTGAAGTGATTGTCTCCTTATGGTTTTGGCAACATCTTGAATATTTTCTACAAATCATTAAGTCTGTCTTTGTTCCTCACTAAAGGTTATTCAGATATCAAAGCAGTAGACATTGTTCAACAGTTATTAAACAATTAATCAGTAGCTTGAGGCAAAACTTGAGGATTTTAGGAGGGGGGG